TCAAGCAAACTTAGATGGTTTGGGGGTGGGAACGGGAGCTGAGTGGTACCCGCCGCTGACAGCAGTGCCAGCAGATTCATCTGCGGGTCCCCAGTTGGCACCGGTACACTTGTCTTTAGCAGGCATGCGCTCCGCTCTGCTCACACGTCCTCGTCACTTACCTACGAGCTCCGTGGACCATGAAGGACCTGTTTGTAAATACTAATGTGTCACTCTGAATCTCTAGGTGTTTGTGAAAGCTGGAGACAAAGTAAAAGCTGGAGATTCCCTCATGGTTATGATCGCCATGAAAATGGAGGTGAGCGAAATCCCACCGTCAGTTGCCGAGTAAACTTAGGGAGCTTGTGGACCTAAGTCTTCTTTTGCCTGATCTCTAAGTTAAGACCATTTTAAATACTAAGAGCTGTGGGTTGATTAAAGATTAACCTTCAGGAAACAAAACCAATCCATTCTTTTCATAAATACATTTTTATTTTAATTTTGTGAAATCACACCATTGCTCCTATTGTTTCTGATTCTGAAATTAATGAAATGCTCAATAGCTTGGAATCAGACAGTGGCCCAACTGAAGATTAACTATTGGTATTTTCTAGGACAGAACTTAGAATGCCAGGCATCAACCCAAACCAAACTCCTTGCCATCTAGCCAATTACGACTCATAGCAACCCTATAGGACAGAGTAGAACTGCCCCATAGGGTTTCCAAGGAGTGTCTAGTAGGTTCGAACTGCTGACCTTTTGGTTAGCAGCCGAGCGCTTTACCACTGCATCACCAGGGCTCCTGCCAGGTATCAATAGCAAAGTGAAAGACCTCAATCAAATTAGCTGCTTTTCAAAGCTGTAACTGAACCCACTCTGGAGATCACCTCTCAGCCAAACAATCGACAGGCCCATAAAGGGAACAGTAACATCTGTGAGGAGGCTGCACCTCCGAATAATCAACCATACAAGACCAAAAGGGCAGCATTTGCCCAGAAGGAAGCGTAGTTCAGAAGGTAGGAAGGGGCAGGAAGCTGGGCAAATGGAAATGGGGAACCCAGGGAGGAAGGGGGGAGAGTGCTGACACATTGAGGGGATTTCAACCAAAGTCACAAAACAAGCTGTGTATAAACTGTTGAATGGGAAACTAGCTCTGTAAACTTTCACCTAAACCACAATAAATGTCCAGAAAACAGAACAAATTAGCTGTTTACGTTTTTAGATGATTGGGTTACGTAGCCATGGTTCTCAGCCCTGACCACATGTTAGTCACCTGAGGAGCTTTAGAAACCTACCTCCCCAGACCAGTGGAACTGGAATCTCTGGGCATGGCACCCAAGGAGCAGTATGTTTTAAGAGCTGTGCAAGTGAGGTTTTAATGTGGAGCTTGGGCTGAGATCTGCTAGCTAGACCAGAGCTGCTCGCCCAGTGCGCAGTGAACGGGTTACAGCGTGCCAAGGCGTAGCTTCCTCTCAGCCCCCGGGCATGCCGTGAAGTATTCACTTTCTTTGTGTGCTGTGATGTAAAGAAGGTGGGAGACCCTGACGGGCTGCACAGCATCTGAACAACTGGTCACGTTCGTCACTTTTCACCTGGCTTTCTTGGCACGGTGCGCCCTTGGTCCTTGTTAGTATTGCTACCATTGCTCGTTGCGTCTTTCTCACGCCTCTGCAGCACACCATCAAGGCTCCAAAGGATGGCACGATAAAGAACGTTTTCCACCAGGAAGGTTCTCAGGCCAACAGACACGCTCCTTTAGTCGAGTTTGAGGAGGAAGAGTCTGACAAAAGGGAATCAGAATAAACTCCATGAAAGAAATGACCAGTGAAGCTGTGTGTTACTCCCATACCGAAAGACAAAGTGCCTTCCCGCTCTTCGGGGTCTAACAGACACCAGTTTTACTAAGTGATTAGTGGATCATGTTAAATGATTATGCTAAAACCTTTCCCTGTTTAAGAATCATGTGCTTGGGACACAAGTATGATGAATTATCTCAAAATATTTCATATTAATAAAACGGGATTTACGTTTTTATCGGAAGCTAACGTGTGTTTCTGCCTCAAGTGTTATACAATGGAGTATCTTTGGGGAGGTGTGAAAAAAGAGGCAAAGAGAGGTCATTTAACTGAATTAATTATCCGCAGTTATAATCATGCTGAAAATGGACAGGAACGTGTTTCAGAGGTAGATGGCACAGAGCTAAACTCACCCAAGGTATTGGCATTTCCAGAGAGTAACTTAGTAGGCAGTTTAGAGATACAGGTCCTGCTGGTTCTTGTCTTTGTGACTGGGAAGTTCCACCCAGACTGCTACTGCCCTACTGTGTTTTCTGAGCTTCTAAAAAACATACACAGGTTTTTATGTATAAATACCCATATTTTATATGCAGTATTTATGTTATTTATAATACATCGTATGTCATGTATTATATACTTATACATTATGTGTCATATTATTTATGTATATTTCATTTAGGGGAAAGTGGAAAAAAATAATTTCCCAGAAAGAGTGGATTAGGATGGAAAACCTGAATCTACTTAAAACCGTTTTCTAGAAAACACCTTTTTCATGAAGAAAAATACGCTTTCAATTTTATGTCTTTACTTTTGTCGAGCTTCTGTTTGCCACTCTTCCTTTTCATGTATTCAGTGAAGTATTTAAATAGTTGCTGAATTGAGTCCTTGCTGAATATATAAGACTGTGTTAAATGTTATGGAGAATACAAAGAAATATAAAACATGGTTTTTATACTTCAAGATGCCCATGGTTTAATTGGAGAGGTAAGACATACTCATGTCCAGAGTTGTATCATGTGGGAAAACATCACATCCAAAATTAATTCATCTCCTGGCTGCTGAGGAAACAATTCCATTGTCGCGATAGTGATGAGAAAGGTACCAAATGCTGAACGGGAAATGCTGAGTTCTCAAAAAAATCTGATTGCACAGCTCAGTTAGAACGTCCATTTTCCTAACAAGGCGACCTGAAACTCAACAGCATCTCCTAAGATGTGGGGATGGGTGGAGACTGCTGTCATGTGACTGGTGCAGAAAACAGGTGTTTTAGAGGCTGCGGTGAATGAGCTGTGGGCAGTGTGATCAGGGTAGGCTTCATAATGAATGAAGACCGGGGCGGGCGCTGGGGCTGGAGCTGTAGACTGGAAATGAGGAAGGTGTGTGAGTGTGGGCTCACTGCTGAAAATGAGCAAGGTGTGCTCTATGCCAGGTAGCAGGCCTGCTCCACTGGAGAGGGAGGTTGCTGGGGGGCTGTGAGAGAGGGTGTGGAATTTGGGTTAGGGGCCAGATTATAGCTGGCATTGAATGCCAGGTTTGGATTTTATCCTGCAAGTAGGGTTTACATTGAATTAGTTTTTAGCAGGGAAAGCAGTGATAATTTGGGAAAATCTATCGGGCTATGAGAGCCCCTTTGAGAAACACTATTTTACTAGGTTGAACATTCGCACGCCTTACGACCTAACCCCACTCCTAGACACACATAAGTGCACACACGCGCCGGGAACGTTCCTGGCCGGTTGCCTGGAATAGCAAAACACTGGAAACAGTCAGCCTTGTTTGGCAGGAGAAGGGTAAATACTGGTCTGGGCACACAGCGGAATACTATTTAACAACAAAATAAACAGACTTCAAAGCATCAACAGGGATGAATCTTGGAATCATGCGCCGAGTGAGGGAGCCTTGATGCACAGTGGTTAAGAGCTTGGCTGCTAACTGAAAGGTCGGCAGTTCAAGCCCCCTAGTCACAAGAAAGAGATGTTGGGATCTCAGCGGTACACAGCAATGCTGAGTGAAATAAGCACATCCCAGACAACGACATACAGTGTGGTACTACCTTTACAGACCTCCAAAATCAGCAAACTCAGCAACATACTGTTTAAGCACATACGTATTTGCGATAAATCTATTTTCTTAAAAGTGAAATAAAGAATTCAAAGTTGAAGACAGTGATTAGCTTTGGGGATTAGGCAAGGGGGTGGGATGGATATACAGGTGGATGCAGGCCACTATTAATGTTCTAGATGTTGGGCTAGGTGGTTGGTTGGTTATGTTCATTATACAATTATGCTTCGTAATATGTTACATATAAACTTTATGATTCAAGTAAAATTTTTAAAAATATGAAGGAAAAAATTTCATCTGGCGGCTGTATGTACATTGATTGAATGGAGGAAATAGAAGACCAGAGGCTGGGAAACCAGCTAGGAGGAAATTCTTACAGACATTTGTTGTGTGCTGGCAACTCCATTCCGACTCATAGCCACCCTATAGGATAGAGACAACTGCCCCATAGGGTTTCCTAGGTTGAAATCTTTACGGGAACAGATCACCAGACTTTTCTCCTGCAGAGTGGATGGTAGGTTCAAACCACCAGCCTTTCAGTTAGCAGCCGAATGCTTAACCACTGTGTCACCAGGGCTCCTTACAGACATTTAGACATGAGTTAATAATGGACTAGGCCATCTAAACCACCGGGCTTTAAACTGTATTTTTAGCAACAGAACCATTTTCCCTTTCCAAACAAGGCTTTCACTGTTTTAAAGAGGGAAAGCAGAGGTGCTCTGGTGGACATTTTGGATTGCTGTTTACCCCTTTCATACTCTTCAGTGGAAATCGGTAGACTTCTTCCCTGTTTGGTTGCTCAGTGATGGTGATGGGGATGCACAGAGAGAAGGAACTTTGAAGCATTCTAGCCCGTTGGCCACATGTTGGTGGAATTCTGTAAGATCACCACCAGCTAAGGTCCTTGGCTGGTACCTCCAGTTTGTGCTTGGCTGGTAATCCAAGGGTTGGCAATTAGATCCCACCCAGTGGCACTGGGGAAGAAACAGGCCTGACGATCCGCTTCCATAAAGATCACAGCCAGTGAGGGCTGTGGGGACATGGTCTCAGGGAACATCTAGTTCAGTTGGCATAATGTAGTTTATTCTATTATTATTTTATATTCTACTTTGGTGAGTAGCGTCTGGGGTCTTAAAAGCATGTGAGTGGCCATCTAAGATACTCCACTGGTCTCATCCCGTCTGGAGCAAGGGAGGATGAAGAAAACCAAAGACACAAGGGAAAGATTAGTCCAAGTGTCTGATGGACCACAAGTACTACAGCTTTTACCAGACTGAGTGGAGCACAACTAGATGGTCCCCAGCTACCACCACCAACTTCTCTGACAGGGATCACAATAGAGGGCCCCGAACAGAGCTGGAAAAAAATGTAGAACAAAATTCTAACTCACAAAAAAAAAAAAAAAAAAAATTTACTGGTCTGACAGAGACTGGAGAAACCCCAAGAATATGGCCCCCAGATACCCTTTTAGCTTAGTAAAGTCCCTCCAGAGGTTCACCCTTCAGCCAAAGATTAGAGAGACCCATAAAACAAAATGAGACTAAAGGGGCACACCAGCCCAGGGGCAGGACGAGAAGGCAGGAGGGGACAGGAAAGCTGGTAATAGGGAACCCAAGATCGAGAAGGGAGAGTACTGACATGTCGTGAGGTTGGTAACCGATGTCACAAAACAATATGTGTACTAATTGTTTAATGAGAAGCTAGTTCTGTAAACCTTCATCTAACATACAATAATAAAAAAGTTTTTTTAAAAAAAATTACAGCCAAGAAAACTCTATGGAGCAGTTCCCTGTCACACACGGGGTCGCCATAAGTCAAATCACCCACAAAAACAATATGGCGAAGATCATCGCCAACTGAGGAGCCGTGTGAGCAGCATTCCCTTGCACGTGACTGCACCTGTTCATCCTACAGACACTTTCAGAGTGCTTCTGCTGTATACTGGGGCCTCTGCAGATGAAGATGGGAAGAAGGGGCTTCTGCCCTTGCCCTGCATAAGGGGAAACAGGATCCACTGCATAGAAAAATGTAATGTAACTGGTAGTAACTAGTGTAACCACCACTCGTCTGTCAGTGTGTCATGCTGTGGTGGCTTGCGTGTTGCTGTGATGCTGGAAGCTGTGCCACTGGTATTTCAAATACCAGCAGGGTCACCCATGGCAGAGCTTCCAGACTAAGACAGACTAAGAAGAAGGACCGGGCAGTCTACCTCTTAAAAAAAAACCAAAATTGGCCAGTGATAGCAGCAGGACGTTGTCTGATACAGTGCCAGAAGATGAGCCCCTCAGGTTGGAGGGCACTCGAAATACGACTGAGAAAGAGTTGCCTCCTCAAAGTAGTCGACCTTAATGGTGTGGATGGAGTCAACCTTTCGGGACCATCATTTGCTGACATGGCACAACTCAAAATGAGAAGAAACAGCTGCAAACATCCATTAATAATCAGAATTGGAATGTACAAAGTATGAATTTAGGAAAATTGGAAGTCATCAAAAATGAAATGGAACACATAAAAAATCGATATCCTAGGCATTAGTGAGCCAAAATGGACTGGAATTGGCCATTTTGAATCAGATAATGACATGGTCTGCTATGCCGGGAATGACAAATTGAAGAGGAATGGTGGGCATTCGTTGTCAAAAGGAACATTTCAAGATCAGTCCTGAAGTACAGTGCTGTCAGTGATAGGATAATATCCATATGCCTACTAGGAAGCCCACTTAATACGACTATTCAAATTCATGCACCAATCACTAATGCCAAAAATGAAGAAATTGAAGATTTGTATCCACTTCTGCAGTCTGAAATTGATCAAACATGCAGTCAAGATGTATTGATAATTACTAATGATTGGAATGCAACAGTTGGAAACAAACAAGAAGGATCAGTAGTTTGACAGTATGGCCTTGGTGATAGAAACGACGCTGGAGATCGCATGGTAGAATTTTGCAAGACCAACAACTCCTTCATTGCAAATACCTTTTTTCAACAACATAAATGGTGACTATACACACCGACCTCGCTGGATGGAATGCACAGGAATCAAATCGACTACATCTATGGAAAGAGATGATGGAAAAGCTCAATATCATCAGTTAGAACAAGGCTAGGGACCAACTGCCAGTTTTGCTGAACAGACCATCAATTGCTTATATGCAAGCGCAAGCTGAAGCTGAAGAAAAGTCAAACAAGTCCATGAGAGCTGAAGTACAACCTTGAGCATATCCCACCTGAATTTAGAGACCATCTCAAGAATAGATTTGATGCATTGAGCACTAATGATCGAAGAACAGACGAATTGTGGAATGACATCAGGACATCGTACATAAAGAAAGCAAAAGTCATTAAAAAGACCGGAAAGAAAGAAAAGACCAAAATGGATATCAGAAGAGACTCTGAAATGTGCTCTTGCGTGTAGAGTTGCTAAAGCAAAAAGAAGAAATGATGAAGTAAAAGAGCTGAACAGAAGATTTCAAAGGGCGGCTCAAGAAGAGAAACTATTCTAATGACATGTGCAACGACATGGAGATAGAAGACCAAAAGGGAAGAACACACTCAGCATTTGTCAAATTGAAAGAACTGAAGAAAATATTCAAGCCTCAAGTTGCAATAGTGAAGGATTCTATGAACAAAATATTGAACAATCCAGGAAGCATCAAAAGAAG